TTTTTTTTTAGGCAGACCTGTAAACACACTGTTAACACATAAATGAACAAATGGATGAGGTTCTCTGGATCTTACTGGGACATTAGTCCTTTATTTCTAGAAATGTCCTTCAGATGTCAGAAGACTGACTTTGTAACTGTCTTTATGTGTCTCTGAAGGCTCAGATCCATCTCTAGACCCAGATTTCAGGCTGTAATAACAGAAGCTGTTTAGGGGAAGACAAGTGTTGAATTGACGTGGATTGTTGAATTGCTGCTTCTGAAACGGCTGAGTCAGCCATCTCTGCAGAGCCGAATGGCTTCTGAAGAGTTCAAGCTCAAACGGTGCGAATACTTTCTCAAGGTGCTGCATCGCTGACAGGCAAAGTGCGAGACGAGGATTTCACTTTGAAACCTTCTCCATACGCTGCAGCAATCAGACGCTCTCAGTCTGAAGTCAGTCATCAGTTAGAGGATTACGTTAAAAACCCTCATCGCTGCTCTTCTGTGTGAGCCTCAGCAGCAAACAGCCACGCATTAAATAGTCAGAATCTGCATGTGAAATATCTCAGCTCAGTACTGAAGTGTCATCAGGACACAGCTGGTCAGGTCTTCATGCTTCTTCCTCAGCAGGACAGGTGTTTGGCCTTTCCATACAGTTAAACTGCAGATGTTCAGTGCTGTGATCGTCATCACCACCGAAAATAAAAAGCAGCTGAAGTGATGGATGCAGTCATGCTGCCGGAGGAGCTGCGACCGTCTGCAGCACGCACGTGCACACACACACGCACAGAGCATCATCCCGATCAGATAAACTGGAATGGTGAGTTTAAAACCAGCCATTTTTTCCAATTGTGCTGTGCAGCTCTAAATGTCCTTCCTCTGTTTTAGAGAGCGATTGTCCTAAATGAAATCATGTTTTCCAGGCAATAACCTGACTCTGATTGTCTGATAACTTTTAATGGAAAAAAATAGAACGTAGTATTTAAATCATAAATCATAAATAGAAATCATAAAGAAAATGTTTGCTTTCATTTCTGATTTAAAGAACAAAGTCTGATATTTTGGTGCTAAGCCATTCAGTGACTTAGTCAGTTCTCTAGGCTACAGGGAGCCAGTGAAAACTAAGATGATTTGCTATGTTTTCTTAATTTTAGTGAGAATGTGGGCAGCAGCGTTTTGGATCAAATGGAGCTGGAGGATTGACTGTTTTAGGCAGAACCTGTGAAGACACTGTTTCAGGAATCAATTCGACTGAAAATAAACACGGGGATGAGTTTCCAAAATCTCTTTGGAACCTGGAAACTTTCTTCATGTGACAGAAGGCTGCCTTTGTAATCGCCTCTATGTGTCTCTGAAGGTTCAGCTCCATTATAACACCAGGTTTCAGGCCTGATCTCCAGTTTCTAGCTGTAATAACTGAAACTGTGTTCTTTCTCTTCCTTCAGTTTTGTTTCTATTCAGCTGGTGCTCTGTCAGACTTTGTAGCTTTGTGGAGTCAAAACCTGCATCATTCATCTGCAAGATGTAGGAGATTTCCTTCCACAGTGTGTAGTCAGTGCTTTAAACACAAGGAAAGTTTTAGCACACCGTCCTCAGCTTGTTATTGTCTAAATCAGATTCTGCCGGGACGTAACGGTTGAGGACCAGAGAGGTCACCCTTTTACTGGGGATTGTTCCACCCTCAGGACCACGGAGGGACGAGAACTCTATAGGCAGGAAGGGAGAAACGATGACGTCATGGAGGGACTCAGTGCAGGTAGCAAGGTGACGTGATGTAAACACACAACTCCTCTTCATAGGACAAACTACGGCAGCCTCACAAGGACATGGAAAGTACCCTGATGAGGTTGACGACAGACGAAGACGCCGTGATCGACGAGCATTTTCTAAATTATTAATTAACTTTAAGGCAAAGCTGGTTCACATGCTGCATCACACACAGATTAATTAGCATTTGGCTCATGTTTTCCACATCTCCCATCAGAGATCTCATCAGCAGCCATGTGAGCGAGCCAAGAGTAACGAGCCGCAGCCCTGACAGCATCTGCTTTCCGGGGCTTCGACGAGGCGTTCACGGATGATGTGCCATTGTTGATCTGAGCTGCCGCACAGACGGGCGGGTTGTGGGTTTGTGTTGTGAAACCTGACAACTCCTGTCGGGGGACATGTTGCCACAGCGATGAGCAGCCATTCAGCAAAGCGCCAACCAGCAGATGTTGTTGCTAGTCTCTCAAACACTTCTGCTCATGCCGATGGATGGAGTCAGACGTCCAAGACGTCCAGAGGCGAATTGATCGGGCGCAAGAAATGAACAATAAATGTGTGGAAATCAGACAAACGTCGAGGGAGTTAATGTGGGAAAGAAATGGCTTTACAACGCAACAAGGACGTCTGTCTGCTTGCAAACAAAGCAGAAATAGAAGAAGTAGTGTTCGTTACTCTGTGTGAGAATATGAAACTCATTTAAACTACCTGAATTGGTAGATCCAATAATTGAGACCTGGAATCCCTTTTTTGCCGCATTTTGGCCCCCATTCAGATGATTTTGTTTAGGGTTTAAAGCTGGACCTTTTTCCACTTCCAGACAACTTCATACAATCGCTTTATGATTCCTAACTTTACCTACCTGGACTGCCTTTCACAATTAAAGTGTTTGCAGATATGCAAGCAAGCAGCAGCTGCCTGAAGATCTAATAAGGTGCCTGAACTTCCTCCCTGCGAGGCGATCGAGCGCCTGGACTCTGACCTGTGGATAAATCAGACGTGGAAAAGAAGTGTGAGAAGTGGAGCTGCTTGTGCAAACTGTTTCACCCTTCAAAGGACGGAGACAAGCTGAGCAAACAGCCACCGGCTCCAGCAGGCAGAACACCGGCCGCCACACGTGTGCTGTTTATAGAACGGGACCCTGAGAAACAGGTGAAGGGGGTGTGTGCAGGGGGCGAGCAACCTGCGGCTGAAACAGAGAAAAACAAAGCAGAGAGAGAGGGAGAGAAGTCACTGTGTTCTCAGAGCCTTCCATGCACCGCTGGTTTGTTTCCCAGAAAGCTCTGTAATAAATTTCCTCAGCACACACATACACACATGCACACACGCCACTGGGCTGTTTGTCGGTGCAATTTCCACTGCCTTGCATAAGTATTCATACTCGCTTTGTCAATACAAACATCTTATTTTATGTATTTTATTGGGACTTTCTGTCAGTGGGACAAATGGTGGGTCAAAACAAAAAGGGGGAAAAAGGAAAAATAAAGTACAGTGATTTCTCTCTTTTTTTTTACTCAACAATGAACTAAGTTGCAATACATTAAACAAGTAAAGTAGTCGGGTTTTGAAACTTCACAAATTTTGAGACGTTTCGACTACAAATAATCTAACTTTTTTTGTCAATTCTGAGCAATCAAAACAAGATTTATGTCGTTTTTATTGAAAAGTATATTTAGTTGCAATTTAGCTTTGAAATGAAACATTTAAATTACATTTTTATTTTCTAGCTAAACCTTTAAATCTGAGCTAAATATTTTAGTTTTCTCACTAAATATTTAGCTCAGATTTAAACATTTAGTTGGAAACTAAATATTTAGCTTCCCAACTAAATACTTATTTTCCAAACTAATCATTTGTCTTTCAAGCTAAATAGTTTTTTTAGTTTAGTTAGCTCAGACCTAAGCATTTAGCTAGCTACCTGAATATTCAGCAGGTAAGCTAAATTTTTAGCATGTCTACTAGATATTTGAGTTGCCAGTTAAATATTTAGCTTATATGCTAATTAGCTTGCCGACAAGCGAAAGTGAAATATCAAAAGCTGGTTTTTGCAGACCGCCATGTTAGCTCCACTGGTGGCGGGACTGAGTCGATGCGCAAGTAACTTTTAATAAAAATGACCATAGATTGTTTTCCTCTTGACATGCTAACATGCTAGTAGAAAACATAGGATTTGCCAAAATAGACGATGAATGGATGGATGGGTTTATTGTAAAGACTTACCCAACATATTGTTCAGCATTTTCTTTCTATTTTCCAATTTAGCACTACTATCTGCTGCTCTTTCATATAAAGTTCCCAAAATATACATAATTTGTGGTTGTGACATGATGACTAGGCCAGACTTACACATGAATGTGAAAAAGATCAAGAAGCACTTTTCACCCACAGCCTGACAGTCGGCCATATTTCAACTGATTCTTATGACATCTCCTTTCAATAAGCAGAATCAGAAATAACCCACAGTGTCTGCACATCTCCACCAGAAAACAACTATCATGGACATTCTTGACCTTAAAAGTCGAAGAGCTGCGGCCTCCGTGTTTTACTTGTGTCTGTTTCCTATAAAATAAGTAAAGCAGTTCTTATGCCTGCTGTATGCATTCTTCTTTTGTCAGATTCTCCCAGTAAACATTCCCTTTCTATCACATCCATCTGTTTGGTTCCTTCTCATCTCCCTCCAGCAGCACTCAGTCAATCCCAGGTATTTGTTTGGCCTTCAAAGAAGTGAAGCAGAGATTCGAGAGGCGGCGATAGAAGCTGCTGAACTGTTGCTTGATAACGTTGTTCGAGAAAACTGGTTGGGAAAAAAAAGAGCCAGAATGAAAAAAGAAAAAACACAATTCAGCAGCAGTGATAACTCTCATCTGTTGTTTTTTTGTATCATTATATAACAACATCATGGAAAATTCACACCCACTCTAATTAAAATGTTGCTTCTGTTTGTTTCTGCAGAATTTTTAACCCAATTTTAAAGTGTGAGGATTAATGGCACAAGAAACTAGACCAAAACGACTTAGTAAGACGTTGTGTTTTTACAGTGCATTGTCCTGGAGGTGAATTAGTGCAAGTCATGCTGCCATTTTTTTAAAGAATACTTACTGGCATCCTTCACAAACAAGCCAAACTTGTTTAGTCACGTTCTAAACTACATTCACGACACTCTAACTATCCACACTGAGCACTGTAAAGCCTGTAATTACTCTGTCGCGACTCATGTAACACTGGGACTTTTCTGTTTGCCAAAAGGACACAGGGGGGTTAAAGTCAACCCACTGCCGTTACACCTATGAGTCATTTAAACCAAGCAAGGTACAGAAACACAACCATAAGACTTAGATGAATTTGTAAGAATATTTGAGCATCACACAGTTTGTCCTCGGTGTGAATGAACTTTTGAGACGACTGGCCATGAATGGCAGCAGCACACCGACAATTACAGATCCAAACGGCAGATATCAAAACCCCAGTTGTAAAGTAAAGGAAGAAAAATAACAAAGAGAGAAATAAAAAATAGGACAAAAATACAACTTGATATTAATCAAATACCTTATCTGAAAGCTGATTAAAAGTGGCCTTAAGTTATATGTATGCCACATTACAGCAACAAGGCAGTTCAAAGTGCTTAACATCATAAAGACATCATAAAGTCGCCATTTTTGAAAACAAGCAATAAACATTGCATTTTATCCTGAACATCAACACACATCAAAAATGTTCAATTTTCCACTTAATTAATCAAAAGCAACTCTAAACAGGTGAGCTTTTTAGTCTAGATTTAAAGGAAATTAGAGTTTTGGCTGTCTTCCAGTTTTCTGGAAGTTTGTTCCAGATTTGTGGTGCATAGAAGCTGAATGCTGCTTGTCCATGTTTGGTTTCGGAAGATCTGGAAGGCTGATACGACGACGACAGATCTTTAATGTATTGTGTTGCTGTGTCAGTCAGTGATTTATAAACCAACAACAGTATTTTGCAGTCCATTCTCTCAGTGGAAAAACTTTAGAACTGGAGTGATGCTCCATGTTCCTGGTTTTAGTGAGAGTACCAGCAGCAGCGTTCTGGACGATTAACTTTTTAGGCAGAGCTGAAGACACTGTTGCAGTAATCAATGCGACTAAAGATAAACACATTTCTCTAGATTTTAATCCTAGAGATGTTCTTCAGGT